AATAGAAGTTATTTAAATCACAGATTATTTATTTTCTTCAGTAATGCTTTTACTAGTTCTCTCTGATATTATAAGCATGTTTGGAGAAGTCTAGTGACAGAACTTCCCATCAAAAAACAAACAGAAATGACATAACCACATCAGAGAGTCAAACCATGGTATAAGGTAAGTGTTGGCTTCCACTAGCTTGATTCCAAGTCACACAACTTTTTTCCTTCTGATCAACTTTTTAAAAGCTTGATCTAAAGTTTTGGTTACAAAGGGGAAAAAAAAATGCTAGAGTAGCATTTAGAAAGATCTACCTTGGAGTAAATCTTTCATTATACCTTGGGATAAACTAAAACCCAGTTTACCTCATGCTGCTCAATTACTTTAAAAGATTGAGACTGATCTGAGTTACAGAGAAATCTGGACTTCTCAGGAGGAGCCAGAAGTGTGTCTGACTGTTAGATGAATAATTTAGCCAAAATAAATTTGGCCACACAATTATTTCAAACACTACAGATCTTGAAGAACATTATTATTTTCAAATAATTCTTTCCAGAGAGTCTCAGAGCAACTTTTTAGTACAAAAGAACATGTCTCTAAATAGTAGATCCACAGTTTTCAGGAAGTATGACTATACTTCTTGGCTTAAATATCTGAAGTGTTTGAAACTAAACCGAGAATGATCTATGACTATGTACTATGACTACAGTCATGGTTTTACGCAACCAAATAAAATGACCACACAGTTTCTCATCCTCATTTCCATTTCTCAAAGAAGAACTGACAGGAATTGACAGTTTGATCATGATAGCAGCAGCATCCCATGAAGTGTGAAACATACCCACTCCCAAAAAGTTCAATATCCTTCCCAGACAAATGACATGGGAACTTCAGCTAGATCAACTAAAAAAAAAAAATAAATCCTTTCCTAAAGGCTAAGCTATTAGAAATTATTTTAAGTAGTGGCATTAAAAGACCATAAGATTGACACAACACAGCCTATTGCACAACATACTGTGTAGAGGACAGCTTGTTTTCTCAGCTGGTGTGCACGTAACTTTTTGTAAACACTGTGTGCACCTCATTGTCCACATACTGCAGCTCACTGCAAGAACTGCTCAACTGCAAGAAAGATTGAAGACCAGGCTAGTGCAAAAAAGACAGCCTGGAACCCTTCAGGCAGAGACATCTCAAATGTAAGCTTTTAGCCCAGGAGAAACCAGAATGCCAAGACATAAAATGAAAACAGGCTTACAGAGTTGACTTAACTGAGCTTTTTAAAAAAAACATATGAACAAAGACATCATATTGCAAATGACAAAACCTGTGGCAAGAATTTCAGTTTAAATGGTAAAGGAATGAGTTAAGGAAACAGATGTAGCTTCTTTAAAGCTACCTAATCTTTATGCTGTGAATTCTACATAATGAGATCATGGGAGGTGAACAGGAACTTAAGAAAATCCACAATAGATGCTAGAATCATGAAAACAGAAAGAAACAGAAAATGGATGTATGACAAACACAATACCACGGAAAACCAAATACAAGATACATTCTGCACAGGAATAATTTTTGGTTAGGAGTTATGAAATCTAAAAAAAGGTTTTAACTTTTTAAATGTAACTTATTTTACTTTTTATGTAACTCAAAGAAATTAGTGTTAATTGGGGGGGGGGTGGGGGAATGGCTGCTTTTACATACACTTGTATCCTACAAATATATATGCAACAGGCCGTAAGAATGCCAGGACCTCCATTATGAACTAAAATATGACTTCCATACCTGAGTAGTAACAACAGATTATTAAACAAAAAAAAAGGCAGAATGCAAAAGCATAATTTAATTCAATAACAGACATAGAAAAAATGATGGAGAGGCCATAATGCATGGATTCATAAATACTTGCTAAAGGAGACTCTAGAACTACTTTTACTCAGAGGAAAAAAAATTAGAGGCCATATATTACTGTAAGTTTGCAACTTCCTATCAAGTCTGATTTTAAAGATCATATCCTATAGTCTCTGGGCAGAGCAGATACCAGATTAAATAGAAACAAGTAGCTATCAAATATTCTTCCCTTCTTTTAATAATTACACATCACTGCTTGTTCTTGTTGACAAGAACTTGGTAGGACTTTTTCATGAGCAATAATTTAGAATGCAATCTTTATTTTCCTACTATATACTACATTATCATATAATAGCACTCGTATTAGTAGTAAATATTAATTAATCAAATTTAATTAATTAAAATGCTCTAAATAATTACAACAGGCAAAAACCTCTCCATCATCAAGTACTGCCATTCTGCTTTTCTGGTAAAGCAGGTTACCACTTCTCTAGAATTAATAAAAAGACAAAGCTTGGATTATTTTGCAGGAACTCTCCCATACAGTACTCTCAGTGTGGCTTTAGGTGCATCAATCACACAACCACAGAGGTTCAGAGCCTTCCCAGCTCTCCCCAGATCTTAATCAATTTTGAGAAGGATTAATATCCCATGTTCTTTCTTCCTCCCAGGCAAGAGGCTTATGGTGAACCTTGGAGAAGGTTAATGCTCTAACCACGTTCCCAGTCCTCCCTCAGTTTCTTCTGAATTACTGCTCAATATTCTTCAACCAGGCATCACGAAAAACTACTTTAGTACAATACTGCAATATTTCTTTATGCCGTTTTCACACCTTGGTACATCTAAAAATCACAACAGACTATTTACTAATCCTCTATTACATATGACAGATTTGTCAGTCCCGATATCCCAGAGAAGTACTCAATTCATTTTCACAGCCTAACACAGAGCCTGTGGCTTTAGAACATTTAAAATCTTGGATAAAATTAAATGTGGATATAAAGGTGAATCAGATTTAAGACTATTATTACCTATTTAATCTTTAAATAATTTTCCAAGTTTTTCATGAGAAAACAAATACCATCACTATAATCATTTTATAAGCAGGGAAGAACTGTCAGAAGTGGGGAACAAATAATAATCTTCCTGAAAATAAGTCTGCAAGCTAAAAATAACACCTGCATTCTACTTGGATCCATGTTTAAAGACAATTCCTGCCCCTGCTTCCCCCAGTCCTCCAATACTAGTAATAGGTGACACTAAGTATGGAAAGATTATTTTCTCCTTGCAAATCAACTCATGATCACTCTCTCTGTATAAAGTTTCCAGTCTGTAGCTAAATTTAATAGTATTATAGGCCTGCTACCATAATGTGGAAATAACTATAAATACGTGATTTAAATCTTTAGAAATATCTAAATAACATATTTAATGGCATCAACACTGAAATAAACTTGCATGCACTGCGTATTAATACAATCTTCAGAACCAAAGGGGGAAGATTAGGCACTACCAACAATTCTTTTTAAGTCTAAACAAGAGTATTTTTTATAAAACCTTGGATTAAAAAAGCTTACTCCAGAGGGACTAAATATGTTTCATTGTTGTACAGCAATTTTACCAAACTGAAAGCCAAATTAAGAATCTAAGAGTAGACAACAAGGCACAGAGAAACATGAGACTGAGTATCACCACCTTTCACTTCCATTACCCTCAACAAAACACAAAGACTGCAGCAATTACTACAGCCTCCTCTTCACATCAAATCAGTGTTAAGTGTTTAGAAGCTATCAGTCTTGCTCACTTTTATAACTTCCTTTTAATACTTCATAAAGAATGGTTTTAAAGCACTTTCAGTTTCAGCTGGTAAAACCAGAACCCTCACTCTTCACAGAGCACAACAGAAAACCTCCTACTCCTTAGCTAAACTCACACTTGATATCTACTCTTGCCTATGACAGTCATATGACTCACAGACACCTAATAACTCAAGGTCCTATTTAAAAAGTCAGCTCTAACTGTCAACAGGTGGGGGAGAGAGAAAGAGTCTACTGGACTCAATCCTTGCCTCAAATCAGACAATATGTCAAGGTCACATTCTTTCACATTATTCAGGAGAACCTTCCACCTCCTGACAGTGCAGAATGCCAAGGGGGAAACCAAAATCCCTTTTCTATATACAACAGTTAACACTTTTCTCTAAATTCTGCTGTATAGTACTAAACCCCAGCCACTTCAAGTGCTACATATTCTTCTCAACTGCATTAAAGTCGTCACTGAAACTAAGAAATTTTATTACCAAGACAAAAAACATATTCATTTTGTGTGAAGTGCTCCACATAACTATTCTCCTGCTGCCAACCACTGGAATAATCTTTAGAGACATGAAAAATACTTAAACTATTTAAATGTAAAATTTCTAAAGAAAATGAGATCAGTTTTTAATACAGAAACATAATCTGTAACAATAAAACATAACAGTCCAGGTACTGAAGGCATTGTGTCAGTGTCTTGAGCATGCAGCTGGTTTTCACTGCATGCACACTTGGTATCTTACTGACCATGTTGCAGCAAGCAACTTCCCTACCGAAACAACACAGAAATAATCAAATTGGACTTGTAACCACTTTGCAAGTAAATATATGCAATATGCAAGTAAGAGGCAGAACTCAATAATAAGCAACCTGAATTTTGGGGAAAAGCTTAGTTTTATTAATTCCTCACCAGCTGTTTAGACATAAAACAAGCATAAAACAGAAGCTTGGCAAGATGCTTTTAAAAATTAGTGTTAATTTTCTGCTTGAGTTAACATCGCTTCCAAAGTTACTTTTCTCATTTCAGGCTGAGGCAGACTGAGGACACTGAAAATAAGGGTGCGCATTAAGGCATGGTCCAAACCAACCTGATCGCTTTTGTTTTGTAAATACTGCAAACATAAACATCCAAAAGGTGCCTTACACTAGTTTTGAAAGAAGCTCTGAACATGCTAAAGAAGCAAGCCCATTTCTCAAAACTTACCTTGAAACTCTGAGACAAAGGCTCTGAAGAGTACATCATCACTAATACAGCATTTTTACTGCCTTTTGAAGAAACTATTTCATACATCAAGCTTTCCCTCTGACATATTTTCCTTTGGTCTGCAAATCCAGTAACAATCTACTTACCACAGCAAGCTGTGTTCGTGATGCTACTGTATGAAACACTGCAGGCATCATAAGAGATTCTTCTACTTTCAATTCCATCTCATTCTCTGCTGAAAACGTGGTTTTGGGGATAGCTGGTGGACGTTCACACAAGATCATTTCTTTGTTGAATAAAAAAATTGGGTTGGTGTCCTACACTCAAAAAGGAAACAAAACCAAGCATTGAGTAAAGGCAACTTCCTGTTGAATTACCAATTATTTCCTCATGTGGGTAACATGTCTTGAGAACAAGTTAAAATCTACACTTAGAAGCTGAATACATAAACACCTGCTTCTCAAATGAAAGAAATACAGCAAACTATGGAAACAATTACAAATCCCTTACTAATTAATCTTTTTCTTCCCCTATAAATGAAAGTTTAGACCAAGAATGCAGCATGCACTTACTGTTCCAGCACTGTAACTACACACTCTTCTGTCTGGTGCCATACACTCTCCTCCATTGACAACCAGTACTTGGTGTTGAATGGCAATCTTATACTTTGTTTGAATTGCATGTTTCAGATCAGCCACACTGAAAACAAATGGGAAGAGAAGTTGATGTTATCAGATTATTCAGGTCTCAAATTTTACATATTTCTGTAAGAGACACAGGTGACTTGTCTGTGTCTAAGCATATTTTATTCTGCACAATGACATATTTCTAAATTTTTCAAGCGCTGTGATGTGTTGCATTCTGGAAATGCAATTAATATGCTATCAGTTAAAAGAAAACGGTCTCTGCATTGCTGATAAGTCACCAGCAATATCTTTTCCAATATCTGTTAGCATGCTGAAATTTTGGATTGAGTCACACCAAGCATTTAGGATAGCAACTGTAAAAGTCATATTGTGTTCCTTGAATTTATACTTTATGACCAAACAGCTGACTTGCTAAGGCCATGGAAGTCAAGACTATCAACACTTCATTATTCACAACATAACCACAATTCCACTTAATAAACTCTGACTGATTTACTGTACATGAAGTACCATAAAGCACTTAACAATAACAGGAAATTCAACAATCAATACAACAAATTAATATAAACACCACAGATTTTAACACAGAAACATTATATCAACAGAACATTTCTGGTTTTAATTCACCAGCCTCACACTTTTAATTCTAGCTGATGACATTTTAACATTACTGCATATTTTAGACAGTTCTAGACTTTGTAATTAAGACACTTGTAAACAGCAAAGTAAACAAGAATTCACTGATCTGATACAGTTAATCACCCCAGCTAACATAACACACTGTGGCAACACCTGTAAAGGTATAAAAAAGCTTAAAAAAGAGCATGAATTGAATAGTATAAGCATAATATAATATAATATAATATAAGCAAGAATAGTTTTGACATTACTGGCAGGAAGCACAAAAGTGTTACTGTTACTTGAAAATGATCATAAAGATCTGTTATTTAAAACAACCATGATTCAGCATGACATCACAAATTCATTACAAAGGTCTCAGGAGTGCAAGCTTGTACTTGCTAGCCGTGTTACAGTAACTATTCACCTATCACCTCCCTGCGCTTTAGGAAGGTAACTTGGCCTGTCCGTGTACAAGGAGACAGGTGAAGAACCCAATAAAGTTGGTCTTACTAGAAAATGCAAGTCTATACATGCAGATATACAGAATAAGCAGTTACACTGCTCAACTGAAGAGTCTTCGATTTTGTGTGGTTCAGTTGCTGGACAGCTTTTTCAAAGAACATTCAACTGAGCAAAAAATGGGCCCAATAGCAAGTTATTAAGAGCATGGCACGTCAGCATAGATGCTGCACCTCAATCACCATTATTTAGAAACGTAATGTCTAAATGTATTGGACAACTTACAGGGGTGCGGGCACATCTGTAAATGATCCAGCAGAAACAGAACAGCTGAAACACTATTTCATGCTCATTAATAGCCTGTCAGTTGGCTTTAAAGAGCACACAAAAACAGTCTAGACAGTCTTTTCTCAGTCATGAAAATTACAAATATGAATTCAGGAGAAAGGAAACAACGAATTAGAAAAAAAAAAAACAGAAGAAATCTTTCTTACCCAATTACTTGCAACACATTCATCATTAACAAACTACATGAAGATAGCAGGTGAGCTTGGTTCTTGCTACCCCCAAGGTGTCTTGCACATAAGAGCAATGAAAAATGATGCAATACACACCTCTCTAAAAAGCATCTATACATTTACAAGATACTTTTAGCATGCAGTGAAAAAAAAAAATAGAAACAGTAAATTTGTTGGGACTTGACCGTGATCCTCTAATACTGATCATGCTTCAGGCAGTTGGGCATTCAGAAATTCATGGTTTACATATACAATCATGTAAAATAGTTTGGAGCCTTACAACATAGCACAAAATCAATTTTTACCCATCTAGCCATGAGACAAAAACCTTCATGCCAATTCTTTAGAATCCAAAAACATTCCAGAGCACACATTTTCTTCAGGATGAGTGTACTGACAAGAGAAAGAACAACCTGCAGAACGCCCTCTATGATGCCAGACAGTAAAAATAAGCCTTTTCTACAGAAATCCCAAATAAAAATACTATTCCAAAAAAGGGCACAAAAGATCAGAAGTAATTCTGACAATTCTGTATTTTTCAAAAACCATCAAACACAACACCACACTCAGTGAGTATCGGGTCAGCCTCTGCCACTATCCCAGAAAGTACGTAACTTCTCTACTCTTTCATGGAATCACACACACAATCACCTGCAAGGCAACGAACATGCTAATCATTAAAAAAACATGAAGGGAAAAAACACCAAAATTCACTCAAATACCAGAAAATCCAGAGGAAAATGGCAATGATAAAAAAAACCAAACCTAATCTTCATCTGTCAAATACTTAATATATAAAAGTATACACACTTTTTAATTTAAAACAAACAATACACAATTAATTTACTCTCTTACTTTTGTACAGCAAGTTCAGTATCAAATGTAAGGGTAGTTCCAGTGTTGACCAAAAATACATATAGCTTCATGATGATTTCTTTAGGTCTCTGAAGTTTGTAACTTCCACCGCTAAAATCATTTAGAAACTGAAACAAAAATGTCAAGTGTCAGTTTCACAGAAGTTATGAAAAAAAAGACACGTTTTCAAAAACACTTTTTCAGATATAGAGTGTGTGAATACATGCCACAGTTCTTTATTCATTACCAAAACCAGAGTTGTTGTTCCTCTAGCCAGAAACAGAGGCAAGGTAAGCCTCTGCACATACAGACAGTTAGCAGAACACATGAGAATACACACTGAGAAGAATAAAAGAAACTAAATTAGAAAAAAATAAAGAAAATATGACTTTCAATTGCAGAAGCCATCATCCCAGATCATTACCTGGCTTTTCTCTATTATGAAATACCTTCTTAAAGCCCCAGATAGTAATTTCCAGACATCTTTTTTAGATTTTACAAACAGCAGCACAATCTAATAACTCCTCTAATTTACAGCTGCTATCTGCTCACTGCTATTCCTACCCATACTTTTTCCCTCAGAAATTGAAAAATTGGCAAAAAAAAAAAAAAAAAAAAAAGGACAGAAAAAGAAAAAAGGCAAAATTCCTTTTTGCATTTCTCTACAATAAGTAATAGCTTTAAAAATTATTTTCTCCTATTATCAGCATTAGCTGAATCTGTAGCTTCTTTATTTGTTACTGATGGCAAACATGAAGTATTCAAGCAAGAAAGTCAAGACACATTTTCAGTCCTGTGCCCTACAAGAACCTGGATGAGTAACTCTATGCATGTGTTTCCAGTTTATGTGGCAGATGAAAAACTTTAACCTGCCTCACAGAACACTGAACTTTAATTTGAGATTCTATTACTGAAGTACTTCACACTTGTGAGCCTTTTTCTCTTTTCCTTAGGAGCTAGGAAGCTTATGAGTAATTTTTATCACACTACCAAGCTGCTGCAGAAATACAAGCACAACAGTTACTAATGGCCTGAGATTTTTGTGTGGAAGGAATTACAGAAAGTTAAGCTGTAAGTTTCAGCCACTAAGCAATATTTTTATATCATTATAAAAATGACTTTTTGGATTAAATTACTACACAAGTCGTCCCTTTTTCCTTGAAATATTAATAGGACACACATGCAGTGTCCACGCAACAAACCATATTACTCAAAAATTAGTCTGAACGTGCATTATCGCTTTGTCTACACACAGAAAAATTAACAAACCATGGAGAAAAATAACAAAAGTGCCATTAATATGAGGAGGGGGGAGAGTTTTTATCAGAATATTTATTCCAGAAAGTCATAAGAGTTCGCTTACAAGAGTGCAGCTATCCTCATGCTCTTCAAGTTTTAACTACAGGCCTAGTAAGAGACCTAGTTTAACTACAGACCTAGTTAAAACATGCATCCTTACAAAAAGGTTTCAGAAACAGAAGCACATCAAATAAAAAAGGACCAGTTAAATAATTTGATATGAAGAGAGTTTTGTTATCCTTGCACCTGAACTCTATTGTACTCAGTTGCACCAGCTTCATTTTGAATCAGAAAAAGAACATACTCTATAAACTAAGTTATTCGACACGTAAAAACTGCTGAACATCAAGAATAAGGTAAAAGTTCTTTACTTTATTAATAAATCCTTTGGACCATGTTTCAGAATTGATCAGCCTCATGCACACACTTTTCTTTTCCCAAAGGGTATTCACGACTGTGATCCAGGTAGAATTAGAAACAAGGATTAAATAATAGAATGTTCTAAGCACAGACCACATGACAAAAAAAAAAAAAAAAAAAAAAAAGGAAACGCTTTTCCATCTAAGCATAGTAAAAGGCTTGTATAGTAGCTAGTTTTCATATGAACATTACTACCCAAGCTAAAGCAATATTTAAGAGAGAACATGTCCAAGACACACACAAAGCAAAATTTTAATCAAGGATTTACCCATCCACACCATAACATTAAACCTAACTAAAACATAGAAAGAAGAAACATTATTAACATCAACACTATTTATGACAGCATCTGCCATACATCAGGAGTCTCTAACATTTTAACTTCTGACAAAGAAAGAATTACCTTCAGGCATTGTACAGAGCTACCGCCTTCTTCAAATTCAAGCACACATTCACTTTACTTGATTTTTGGCAACAGAGTAGCATGGCTGTTCAAAGCCAGAGAAGATCTGCAAAGAAAAGATTCAGAAGGCAATTATTACTAAAATGTCAGGATTTTATGATCATAATTGCATTTAATACAGAAATCAGTGTATGTTAATGCCAGAAGAATAATTATGTGGTAGTTGTTTGGCGTTTTGTTAATTAACAATGCTATCCAGTCACAAGTCTGCCCAGATCGGCCACACATCTGAATACTTCTGCTCATCATTTTTGTTTAAAATAACTGTTAATCATACTTTTGAGTGTTTACAAGGAGAGAAATTTAGTTCACTATAAAGAACTGCTTGCTTTTTCATTAACAGATATTATTTCTCGGCACTCGTGCAGAATGCTGTTAAAATTGACACTGAGTCTTAACAATGCAATTTATCTAAGAAAATCCAGCATTAGAAGGTATACATGCTACTGCTGTTGAATGAATAGTCTTATCCAGCAGCTGCCTCACACAGATTCCTTCAGGAATCAGTATCACCTTCCTTACCTGAAAGGTAACCTATTTTGCTAAGCCATTCACCTACTTTCAAAGCAATTGTTAGGTTTATTTATTCTATTTTTTAAATAAACTGAAGATGTTACCACTCCCAGATTGTCACTACATCTTGGCCAGGGGGTTCCTCTACCAGAACTGCTTCTTAAACTACAAAATGAGCCAAATCAGGAAAGGTGACCTTTTTTAGGCTACCCTAGTTCATTTTAGCTGCGTTCAGTTAAGTAGCAGTGCCAAAGGAGAAGGAGCCTTGGCAAAGAACATGTGGATGACCTGTTGGGCTCAGGGCAGTGAAACAAGTGCACTAACTCCAGACTGCAAACAAACATTATTTCTATCATGTTAATGCCCTAGCAAGCTTTCTGAGAAGATGATCAGGCACTATAAAGGGTGATAATCCATTACTAAAAATAGGCTTGCTGAAGCCTGAAAACCATTAGAACATGTAAACAATTTTACACAACCTATGTTACTATAGATAAATCAAAAACACTCACCCTACATTCTAAAACCTTAATAAATGAAAAAAAATATTTTCTTGTCATGGAACAGAAGAATTATCTTTCTCCCTTTTGTCCACTCCCTCATTAAACCCATGCAAAATGCATACATGACATTTTATCAGAAGCAAAGGTCCAATAAAAGGGAAATAACCAGTGTGCTTAAGTGCTACCATTAAAAAAAAAATTGTAATTGAACCATCCTCCTCCTGTTTAGCGATCAGCAGTCAGTAGCTGTACTTGAGCAAAATGAATTTATGAATACTTGCCTTAGGTCAACATAATGCACATTAACACAAAACTGCAGAAATACTTCTGCCACCAACTAGGAACAAAATACAATAATCTCCTGCCTTATAACTGCTTTGCAACCACTAAGAAAAAAGAGGTGCTGTTTCTTCACTCAACATCTCATCAAATGATGTTGGGGTAAAAGAACTACACGATGCAGGGAGGACAAATTTGTATTAAATTACTCTTAAAAAAAAAAAAAAAAAACAAAAAAACAAAGAAGATAGAATTCACAAAATTCCACTAAATTTACCTACTCTCAAGGCTGTTACAAATTTCAGTGAACACTTCAAGAAGAGGGGAATGATGTAAAGCAAGGTTCCAGAGAATACATGCCTTAAACAGCAACCTCTCCTGCAGATTCACTGATGTCCAACAAAGACATGCTGTAGCATGCCCTTCCTCCCTTCAGCAGGAACAATGTCAACTGCCTCTCTCCAGCTGCCTGTCTTCACAGTACTGGAAGAAAAATTAATTTTGAGAGCTCTCCCTAGTCTTGCATCTCTGGACAACATCTGCCTGTGTTCAAAGTTACAGGGGGTATGCATGAAAACCTACCAGAGTTGACTAAGTTTCTTTTCTTTCAAAGGTCAGGTTATTGCAGACTGTTACAGGCAAGGTCAGCTACATATCACAAATTAGCCTTTAAGTTTGTTCCCAATATTCCAGAATACTATCATCATCCAGCAGTAACAAGTTCTTAACATAATCTTGGAGTGAAAGTCACACCATCAAGCTTCAACAAAATATATCCATACAGGTTTTGTTCTTGTTCTGTTTGTATTACCACAACAGGCCATTAGGACAGTATCAGGCTTTATTTATTCACTTTTAGCTTTAAACTCAACAACTATACAATTTGACAGCTACTGAAGACACAGCTGCTACCTATGTAATCAAACAAAACCACAAACAGTTAATCCACCCAGATTATTTGTTTAAACAGTGTGACTTGCAGCATTAGAGTCATGCTATCATATAAGCTAGAATCTTTACACTGAGACAGAAGTCTGTATGACCAACTGTCATGAATTATCAGTAATATCATTAAAAAATAGCTGCCAGATCAGACAGAATATGGTAAGCATAAATAAAAGAAAAAATAAATCAGATTAAAAAAATGTAAGAATGGCACAAAGTATAAAAAGTTTCTATAATGAATTGAAAATATGTATAGTGTCACATTAGGTTATTAAACACCAAAACCAGCCATGAATACATTGTGCTGGTTGCAACATATTTCACTGCTCTACACACTACATTGCAATGCAATTACTGCAATCTTTTCTTGTATAATATAAACTCCTCAACAACCAACTACTTTTGAAGTCAGTGTTGATCAATACTTTCAACATGTGCTGTTTACAAGTACTGAGATGTATCTCAGTTCCGAACTTGCTCATTGTTACATCTCTAAAAGGAAATTAATGTCTGCTTTCAGACTCTTGCACAAACATCACAGGTTTCACAGCACCCTACAAATAACCCTATATTAACCATCCATTTCTGCCCTTAAATGCAGAATCCCTGCATTTAATTACCTAATGCTGACTGTTCCATTGTTTCATGGTACAATTCTTTCCAACTTCACAAAGTCAAACACTGAATTATGGCATTCAGAGCGGGACAAAGACAGAAATCAACATTTATGCTGTTTGGGTTTAATGGGACATTAATCAACTTCACTTTGAGTCATTCAGTTCCCTGTATTATCTTAATTGTTCACACTCATGCTTCTGACATCTCATTTTCCATACTTCCTTTATAATCTGGATTACAAACTAAACTTGAGCAAACAGAGATACCGATAACTTTTTCCTTAACACCATAAAATTTAAACTGAACTATGACAAAGTAATGGCTTTCCTTTAAACCCAGTGGTGTAAAATTCCATCCACAACAGCAACAGACAAGCAGTATATGGTATTTCGCTTTTTGCTCCCAGGGAAGAGCAGGGAAGCGCTGCTCCACATCTATATGCTAAGTGTTGTACTTATCAGTGCTTCACCTGCCAGGTCAGATAGAACTAAGAGGCCCAAACTCCTTCCCCCTTGTGTATATCTCCAGGTCAAAATGGGCTCAAGCCTGAAAGCAGACAGAAGTAGCTGAATCACCTGATCAAGACAAGACCATGCCTGCATTTCCACACTGCTACTAGACAATCGCATACTTCTATGTGATCACCATCTGTGCGCTGCTGATAAAGAAGTTTCACTGCCCTTACTGCAGAAGCGCCGAGGCTGCACTACAGGTAGCAGTGTCTCCTAGATGAGTCATAAATGTTACCCCCAATTACCAGCGTCAGGAGTCTCACAGGACACCACCACAGAATTTCTGCCTGTTGAAACGGCAATTCATGTGAGGCAAAGGCTGACAAGTCTGTGACATGCTTAAAAAGACTCAAGTGCTATTCCTCATTCAATAAATGTCTTATCCGGGAAACATCTCCCCTCAAGGCCAATATACCTTTATTACTGCTTAAGATGGAGTCAACTTTACAGCACATTAGCATGTAATTAAATTGTGCTTCATTTCCATACCACAAATCTTAAAGTTTGCCTCTCAGATGCTACAGTTCCTGTGATTTCACTTTTCAGAGCAGGATTTCCTGCTTCACCTCGACTTGAGCAACTCTATAATAGACAAAGGTACAAGCCCAGTGCAGAATATTCCTTACAATTAATTTTGTTTTCTTCTAGAAACCTGACTTCTACCTCCACTTCCTTTGGTTTTTTTTCAAGTGCCCTTCTCAAAAAATGCTCTCTTGCTTCAACTTGCAGACCCCAGCAGAACAGTATTTTATAGCACATAAATCAAAGGAAAATGAAAATAGAAACTGAAGCTAAATTTAATGCAACTAACACCTTTCTTAATGTCACTTGTAAGATCCTCTCTAAAAGTAGGCTTCAAGGAACCTTCTTCAATACTGCAACCTAATGCATCTAACCAGAAATACCTTAATTTTGCAGAACATTACTACTACCACCACCAGAAGACTAGAAAGTATGACCTCATTGTGAGGGCATGCATTCTTTAGTAATGCTTTATGCAACAGAAATGGCTATGTTTCTAAAATACAGTGCAAATGCATATCATTTTCTGGATAGCCTACTGTTGAAAGGAAATATGCTTTAAAAGGCACTAAAAAAACTTAAAAGAAAAACTAAAAAACAAAAAAATAAAACACCCCTAAGTTGTGTGACGAATAAGTAGTAGGGCTCCTTCTGAACCAGGTGCAGGGAATAATTTAGTTTGCCTACTCCTCCAAAATAAACTTAATGAGAAGACCACATTTAATCACTGAGATATATATTACTGAAGGTGGAGATCCTATCTCCCACCGCTACCTTGTATGAAAGCCTATAAACCTCATGTTCAAGCCACACAGTAGTCTTAAAGAAAGGCTGTCAATCCCTGACATCTGTAAGGTTGCAGCCATCTGGAGCTCTATTTATATGTTGAGATGTGCATCAGGCACAGAGGCGGTTACTTAATTACAGCATCTCCAACAGTCACTGTGTTCTTAACAGCTCTCAAACTCAGCTGCTGGTCAGCACACAAGTCTTTTCTACTCAAACCAAGAGCAAAGCTGCAATCCTGCAGAGCAGCCAGGACACATTCCTAAACCCCTACCTCACAATTCAGTAAAGAGGAAATTCAAGTCAGTAATTCAGTATTTCATAGTCTAAGAGGTTTATTCTCTCCTTCCTCTCCTTTAAGATGAATA